ATATATTACTCTCTTGTCAATTCCTGCCCCAGTGCCCCAATTCACCCTCCAACACCCCATTAATAACTTATACTTTCTCTATCTTCAAAGTCAGGAGATGATCCAACTTGGCACTCTGAACGCACACATACACGCACGCGCGCGCACATGGCACCAGTAATTTCCTCCCTCCTGTCTCAGTCCGTTCGGGTTTCTCTAAACCCGTGCACATTAGCATTCAAATCCTCTCATACCCGTGTCACTGTGTGTTCAGACGGAGGCAGCAGATCTTCATTCATCAGTCCTGATCTATCTGCTCCTTGTTCTCAGCCTGAGGCTCCCGGGCTCCTCCTGACTCACTCCTCAAAACGCGTAAAGCTCAAGGTGTGTTGCGCATTTTCAACCCAGTCCGGGGTCATCGTCGGGGGGCATGTTTTTTTGCTGGACCTCAACATAAAAATAAAGATTGGAACCTGTTCTCTTAGTCCAGTGCGAGTTGCGCGTAAATCGGATTCAACATTAACACCAGGTCCGACCACGTCTGTGGTGCGCTCTTTTTGACTTTACCAAAAATTTAAAAAAATTAAAAAAGACATAAATGAGGTAAAACTAACTGATATTTCACTCGCTGGATATCGGAATTATTTTAATGCCAATTCCATTCATACCTGCACAGTCTATGCGCACGACGCACAGACTGAGCATCATGCAGTCAGTGAGGAGGCCTGGAGCGGAACTCTGTTACACACTGACACCACACACTCACACACCACACACGCACACGCAGACACACACTGAAACACGCAAACCCTCTGTTACGCACACACACACAGTACACAGGTCTTGCAGATCTCTCTGTACAGCGCATTAACAGGTCCGCTGTAACGACGCGTCCGGACGCACACGTAGAAATAAACACACGAGACAACACTGTTGGCGCACATGCACGTGCACACGCACACGCAGCTCTGCGAATGTCACCAGTGGCATCTTCTCCACTTACCTCTTATTAGTGTATATTTGGTGACGATGCGGCAGTGATTTAGTCCTGGATGTGTTCTGTTCCCACCGTGCGCCTGGTCTGTGGTAACTCCGAGACAGAGACAGAGAGAGAACGCACTCACCTTCCCCCAAACAACAGCGTATTCCACTGCAGAGCCGCCGCCGCTGCCGACGCTCACTGTCAGCGCTCTCCCTCTCTCTCTCTCTCTCTCACCCTCTCTCTCTCTCTCTCTCTCTCTCTCTCTCTCTTTGATTCACCGCTCTCCAAGTGCTGCGCTGCCACCGCTGGTTCGGTGAAATGTCTCATGGATCTTCAGGTGGATTGAATCACTGTTCAGAATGCTTTTGTGCGACACTGATAATCCCCCCCCCCCCCTGTTCATAATCATTACCATTAGAAATGTGTTATTTGTATGAGTGCATGAAGTGTTGTTTATTCCATCTTAATTACCACGCAGGTAATAACCCACCACCAACGCTCTACTTTTGCTGCTTGCGGCCAGTGACGCACGGCTACAACCCAAAAATAATACCACCTGTAAATGTGACCACGTCCCACCGACCCATCATTACCATTAGTAATGCTTATACAAGCAGCCGCTCTCCTCCGGCGGCAGCTGCTGCTGCACATTTGCTCGTTGTTGTTGTATTTTCTTACATTTCACGTGTGTCCATATGCTCATATCTCTATATAATATGATGATGGCCGTGTTTACAGCTTGTTACAAGGAACATTTGCTGCTTGCCCGGTTCCCTTGGCAACGCTCAAAGCACACAGAGTGAGTGCTGAGCCCCACCTGTACAGCGCTGCCTTCAACGGATCTGTGTGTCCTGTCATTATTTTCAGTGTGTGTGCGCGTGTGTGTAATGATTCTGACAGAAAATGCATTGGAGAAATGGGCCGGACGGTTTGTCCAGGGATGACGGGGAGGCTGGGTTAAGGTCAGGTCAAGGTTACAGGCCAGTGTCAGGGATGGAGGGTTAGTCACATCAGCCTGATATTAATACAAGGCTGCAGGAGAGAACGAAGGTGGGTGAGTGAGTGTGTCCATCAGACGGCAGAGAGAAAGAGGGAGGGAGGGAGGTGGAGAGTGATGGGTGAGAGTTGGGTGGGTGGGCGGTGGTCAGACGGGTGATTAGTACTGGATTAATAACGTTCTATATGGAGAGTCAGAGGATCACTCTTCCTCATATCCTTGCACTTCAACGCCTGCTCTCCATCACGTCAGACAGGTGTTCTCACACACACACTGCACACATCTCTCTCTCTCCCTCCCTCTCTCTTTCACACACACTCACATGCGCATACATGTATGTGAGTATAAGGAGCATGATTCAGATGAGGAACATGACAGTGACTCTGACCCCCCACGTATGAAGTCTGGATGCAGCAACAGGGTGGCCAACCTGTATCTCTTATTAATCACTGCACGCTGCACATGGCCTCGGCCGCCCTTTTCCTGGTTTATGCACAATATGTTCCTGCTCAATTGCCCCCCAACCCCACTCCCCACCCACCCCCGATCCCAACACCATCCCACAAATCCACACTCCGCAGTGAGGGTCCCAGTCCTCTTTAATTCCAACAACGACGCTCCTCGCTCACTGCTTTTGCATTGCTCCTTCCTCTCACTCACTCTCTCCTCTCTACCCTCCCCTGCCGCCTTCCTGCCTCCCTCCCCTCCCCCCCCCCCTCTCTCTCTCTATTAAATTTCCAGTCACACAACAGTGCAGTGGATATCCCTCCCTCTCTCTAACTCTCACACACTCTTCCTCCCTCCTCCCCTCACACATACATACCTCAGTAGTCTGTGGAGGTGTTGTCCTGGATCTCTCCCTATTGCTCTCACTTGATATTGACTGTTCTCTTCCTCCTTTACTTTCAACCTCTCAATCTCACTCTCTCTTCATACATGGCTGTTCTCCTTTCACCTCCAGTTGACACCCCCACAATTTCCCCCTCCCTCTATGCCTCATTATTTAAAAGAGTCCCTTCACATTTCCTCCTCTTCCTCCCCAGCCCACTGCAGTGTCTGCTCTGGCTGTGGAGTATAATCCCCCCCCCCCCCCCCCCCCGGTGTGCAGGGCTCGCTCCATCAGGCCAGCCTTTAACTCACTGATTGAGTGGACACCACAGGCCGATAAATGAATAAAGATGGGAGCCACTGTGAGGATTAATGTGCCTCATATGAAGACAGAAAGCTTGCCATCCAGTATTTCTGCCACTGCCCTGTAGATGTTTCTCATGTCTCCTCTGCTCTGCTCTTTGTTGCTGTATGTTACGCTGTGGCAGCATCGTGGTTGAGAGACACACAGGCACTCTCCTTGCCATGGGTCAGGTTCAGCTTCCAAGGTCTCAGCAGCCCTGGGTCAGGACATCTATACTAGAACCCAACACAGGCAGATATTGCCCAAAAGTCATTTTCTCCCTGCGATATTTGTTTTTTCCTCTCCCAGCCTGCAGCTTCACACGGATTTACCCAAACCGCCTGGGTACAAAGTAGTTAGAGCACTGATATAGCAATGTGTGTCAGCTGCAAAAGACCAGAAATGGATGTTATTTGTCCATATGACCCCATGTAAAGTCTGCAGGCAAATTCATGTGCAATTTCAGCAGATTCACAATTTCAAAACAGAGAACCACAACCACACGTGGTACAGTCAGTCCTACGGAGCCCTAAAAGGATATAGAAAAAAAACATTGCTGGTGCTCACCTGAAACTCTCATGTCTCAGAAAAGAATTTGTCCGCATACTCACTCATTTCAGTTCCTCTGAAACATTCTGGTGCTTACCTGTACACAAAATGAAAAGAGGTTAACTTCTCTGCTACCATGTCCACTAGAAACTTTTTTTTCTTTTTTTCATGTCCCTTTAAGGGCGCCGTATGTGGAGGAATTTAAAGGAAATCAATGACTCTGAGTTTGTTCCTTCACAATCACTCACTGCATGGCACTTGTAATGATATTTTGAGCATGACAAGAGGTCAATAGCACACAATTTCTCAATCATTTTCTATGAACTCCTCAGTGACCTCGTCATGTAATAGAAAATGCCACAGTTCTCCTTCGACTGAACATAATGTTCAACCCATTATGACTTTCAAACAAAAGGTTTTTATTTTCCCACTAACGCTGCTGAGTTTTTCTCCCAAAGAGATCAGAGAACCTTTTAAATCTCATGGTTAACCAGGCCTGAATCTCCACCACTGAGCTTACTGCTCCTCCCCAACAGAAACAGTCCTATCAGGCATCAGCATCCATTAAGGCCAATAGTGCCATTGATCGTCACGCACACTCCAGACCAAGTGGACCTCAACCACCGGTTCCCTGAAGACAAATCCAATTTCAAGGTGTTATATGCTTCTCCAACCACCATCCCACTCTGCTTCCTCCCTATCTTCTCCCCATGTCCAGGCTAAACTCATCCACCACAGGATTATCACCACACGTGCGCTCTCTGTGTGGCAAGGTTTAATAATAGGACCGTGTCTCCTGCTCCTGCACAGCTCACTCCTGTCATCACCTCCTCCAGCAGGGCGTAAAACAAACTCGGCCCCCAGGCATATAAACCCCATTATGCTGAGCAGCACTTCTGCCACCCGGCTGTATAATCTCCATCTCTTGTCCATAGCCTTTCCTAACTGGCCTTTACACTGGTCCGCTGCATTTCCTCATGGCGAGAACAGGCACAGACAACAAACCAAATGTCACACAATCAACACGTAGCAGAGGAATTTTATATTCAGGCCACTTTGCAGTAAAGCTCAGGCTAACAACTCCAGCAGTACTCAGAGAAAACGCAGTAAATGCAATTTATTATACTGAAATGCAAACAGTATCATTCTGTGTGTGACATGTAAAAGACCTAGGATTTTGGGAGGTTTGCTTTGACAGATTTTCATCTAAGGGATCCACTGCCTTACATATCAGATACGTAGTGCATATGGAAATATTATATACATACTGAGCAGTGGAATCTTTTCCTTTTCTATTACAAAGCTGCCTCACTTTGTTACATTCAGCTGTGGAATGATGGTAAAGGGAATGTTAGATATGGAAATAGAAAGTTATAGGAAAAAGGGTCGAATGATTGTTACTGCAGAGCATTCACTTTCTACACTTTAAAGAACCTGGAGGTAAAATGGAACACTATAGTGGTTAGGCTCCTATAAAGGAATGCATTTCACTCTGTAAGTGAAGAGAAGAAGAGGAGTTTGTAGATATTGACATTTTTTAAACCTTAAATTTTGTTACACACTGATGGTGATCTTTAGTTTTTAAGGTCCACAGGGCAAATGTGGCATTTGGACGGGTTTTATGATGCACTCATATTTACTCTGTCTAAGCCAGCCATTAGGAAACTTATTCACATTCTTTTTTGCCATTTTAGCTATTACAGTAACACACTTAGAGTTAGAGTCTAAGTTGTTTCTAAACAGGGAGCATGTAACTCATCCACCTCCCCTGCAGGAGGGGATCCTAACACTAACTTAGTAAATGAACACTAACTTAGTAAATGAACTTTTCAGTTTGTGAGGTTTTAGTTTTTAATTGTGGCATTTGTAGCACTTGTTAGTTTATTTTTTAATTGCTATCCATTTTTGGTCAATATTAACCATCTTGTAAACAAAAATATAGGCTGAACATGCATGAAGTGACTTGAAGACACAATTACTGAAACTCTGAATGATTCATGTTGTTTAGATTGTGTACAAAATATATTATTTTATGTAGCTTAATCACACTGTTGTCAAATATATCATATTTTAAAGATAATAAAATATCTACTTGAGTGTTAAAAAACTGCTGAACATTTTAAATAAATGGTCAAAATGAGGTAAAGTGGAAAAAAGAAAATAAAAACTATTTTTTGCGACCACCCATAGAAATAGCATTATTATTTCTGGGTATATTGGCAGACGGTTTTTATTATCTGTCACTGTACAATCCTTGCTTATGCAAAATGTTTTTCTTTGCATCTTCTTGCTGTTGAATCTCATCATGCTGTATGACCTTTAGGAAGGAATCATCTTTCTTAACCTCAACTTGATGGGAAAGTGGCTGCGTGTAACAGCTTCAAGCCTCCTACATGCATACGTTAAAAACGATACATATGTGAAGCTGAATAAGCATACACCTAACACAAAGACACTATATATACATAAATAAATATATTTATATATACACCTCCACACACACACACATATATATATATATATATTTACAGTATATACAGTATAATTTAAAAAAAATTTCCCACAACTATAGATTTGATTTGTATAAATTCAAACACATTTTGCCTAAAGGGTATCGTCACTCGTATTTATCGCGCCAATTGATCAGACAGGTGAACCTGACGTTAAGGAAAAGTAGTAGTGTGAAATATAAAAGAGACTTGAAAAAAGATGATGAGGTGAAGCTAAGCCTCAGCTCCGAGGGCCAGTCAGCGATTAAGGAATGGGAGGGATGAACACCAGCCACTGAGGGACTAGTGTCTGTCTGTGTGAGTCAATGTGAGAGCACGGCTGAGGAAAAGCTCAGAAACAAGAACCCACTGTCATGGTATCTTAGCAACCGTCTCCGTCTCCCAGGTGACAGGGGCTGACATCACTTCCTGTTGGTACGAGTGTGTACACACAGTGTCCAAGTGTGCTGTGCACAAAGTTCATGTGATTTTCCCTATTTGTGCTCGACCAACTGGGCTTTACGGTTTCAGCACCAGTGCCACCAGCATGCGCACGGCGGGATGGCCTTTTTTTTTTTACGTCATGCAAGGTTATGACTTAAAGACTCAGCATGTATGTGTGTCTGAGGGCGCACTTTCAAAAAAAGCAGACTGTGGGCACATATATTAATGTGGAGACTGTGCCACGTGCGCATGCGTACAGCCTGCCCGTATGCTATGCCAAAGGAAACATAGCCAACTGATGCCATCTGGTAGAACTACTTGGCACAAGTAGACTCTATGGTTCCACAACATATTGGAGTACTTAAAATTAACACTATGACACAATTTGGCAGTAATGGACACTGAACAATCTATTACTGTGTCCATTTCATCCTCTCACCTTAGTCCACACTGCAGTGACAACAACTGAGGTGTGATGCTGAAATCCACTGAATCAACCCAAACTTCATGGTTATTTATTTTACCTTTGTACAGTATTAATATCCACAATTCAGAAAAAAGAAAAAGTAAAAAAGACAGAATGCATTCTTCTACCTCAAACTACAAATAAAAAGGATAGCAAATGATCCACAAGCATGATACAGTTGACCACTTCCACTGGTTATGCTCCATCCGCTGTACGGCACAGACAATTAGCAGGCTGTCTAGTTTGACCATTTACATAAAAAACTAATGCTTGAATTGTCTGCCCCTAATTAACTTTAGCAGCTCATGTCTCATAAAGTGAGGACACTACTTACGATTTGTTCTATAATTATGTCGAACATTGCTAGTTATGAAGCGGCAGAGTGGATGTATGTTGTCAGAAGTGGCTGCCAAATGTTAACTAAAATCTCTGTCCACGGCACTCAGTTAAAGAAGGTCCATGAGGATTTCATCCTCCATGTTACTGGACACTTGGGGCATCCCAGGCTGTGGTACAGACCCTCTCTGACCTCCAGACATCATGACAGGACCTGCACATGGAGAGGTAGACAATGTGAAAAAAAAAAAAAAAGTTAGACATGTTCAACATTCAGTCATTCACATCTAAAATTTGTGTCAAAAAAGAAGTCATTTTAAATTGAACTATAATGCTGTACGATGATGTGCTGTGACTCTGCCATCTCTCTGTGTTTTCAACTTGTTCCTTTAATTTGCAAGTGGTAGAATGCTTCGAGGTGGAAATATTCACTACCTGACAAATGATACAGAGCTGCTGTCAAATGCCCAAAATTAAGGTGTTAGTTGTGAACAGAGTGGGAGGCTCAGCCATGTATGGAAGACTCACTGTTATAAGTCATAAAAAATGTAAACATAAAATTGTTTTCATTTGTGGGGAGGTGACTTTTTCAATGTTAAACCTGCCGTGTTTCATCATAAATGTCTTGTGTTTGTTGGAGTGTTGTTGTTAGCTAACATCAGGACCAATCACAGCTCACCTACTTCAGGTAACCGACTGATCCAGACGTGTACTTTATGGTAGCTGAGCTATCAGTCCAAGTCACTTGTTCTATGTTTTAGTTTTTCTCAAAAAGGTTCCTATTTAAAAAGCTACATTGTGCCAACAAACCTAACTTAGGGTGTAAAACATTCGACCCACACTCACAGTCCTCCACGAGGGAAGAGACATCCTCTTTGTCTAAAACCGGTTAGAGATTATAAAAGAAAATTGCTGCATCCTAGAACTTTGAAATAAAATAAACAGCCAGAGGGAGAAAATCTGCACCGTTGTAACTTGTCTCCTGTTCAACTTTGTTTAAATGGTACCATAATCCTTCAACCACAGAGAAAATCTTTAATCTCCATTAATCTTACTCTGTGCTGGGCTTCAAAATCAATATACAGTGTAAATGAACCAGAGGTTCTGCAAATTTTTTTGAATCAATGTGAACGAAAATAATTGACAAATTGAAGCAGGCTGCAGGAGAACATCTAACTCAAGCAAGTTTTAAATAGATTAAAACAACTTAATGCATGGGAGAACTCTGCAGTGATGTAAAGTGCAGAAAGTAGTAGGAGTACGTGAGCTTTGCCATACACACTGTGATGTTATGTGACTTGTATTTTGTTCAAAGCTGCCTTTCAAATTTCATGTCCTTTTAGACGTCAAACTGTCAGTAAGGACTGAGCTTGTTGACCTGCCAACGGCTGCCTCCACTGCCCCTGCATTTGAGCCCCCCCTCCTGGCGCTGAGTGGACCAACTGCTGTCCTAAACCCTGGTGAGACATCATGCCCTGCATGTGAGACACCCCGCCTTGCTGCAAAGACAAAGAGAAAGAAAAGAGACAAGTTAACTCTGCTAACATGTAGACATGAGTTGCACATTAAAGTTTTGAGACATTTTTGGGGGCTCAGTACGGGCGTCGGGGGATCAACTAAAGACAGATCCGTTTGTGTTTCTTACTGGCTGCTGTTGGCTGAGGAGAAGACTGCGAAGCTGCGGATTGGCTCCCGGGTTTGAAAGCCTCAGTATAGGACCCTGAGGTGGGGCTTGTCCACCTTGTGCAACCTGGTTGGGTGGAGCACCATTGACTGGTGGCTGCTGGTTTGCTGGTACAGCTGCTCTCAGTGCCATCTGTAGAGCCGTCCAACAGTTAAACCGACACAAAATATAGTATGGTTCTATTATCGACTGCACTGGGTTTAAATCCTGACTGAATCTATAGTCTTGTATTTAATCTTGTAGTAATTTACTACATATGCTGCTATAATTTGGTTTAAACACACCGTGGTGTTGTATAAGTTAGTAGAGCAGCACAAGTAATTACCCCTGATTATTCTCTCAGCACGCTAAAACAACAAAATAAAAAAAACTACAAAAAACTCAACATACAGTTGTCGCTCTGACAGCAGTATTAGCTTTAACTGCAATATTGGACCACAAAAAAAAATCAACTTTAACTCTTATTATCTAAAACTGTGTATTATATTAAATATTAAGTCAATATTTTCATATAGTATCCAACATCACAATCAAAAACAAAAAAAGTCCTTTTATCATGCAGGTGATGCTTGTCTGACATGCACTTCAAGAGGAAAATATAAGTTGGAATTAGTAGGTTGCAACATGCTCATAGGAAATAAGCCATCCTTAAGTCTTAGTTAGGTCTCACCATGTTGTTTTGCCTCTGCTGCTCCTCCATCATAGAAACCTGACTAACAGGAGGCATGCCCACCACCACAGACTGCACACAGAATAGATCAGAGAGGAGGAGGAGGAAGTGAAAAGTGTTGAAGAAGCAGGAGAGAGAGGAGTTGACAATAAGGCATGCAGAAAAATATTTAGGCAGCATTTGGATAAGTAAAGTGACAAAACAGGCAAGGGGAAAGGGGAAATCCATGTAGGAACCAGCATGGACATGCAGGCACCGTGATGGTCTGCCTACCTGTTGCTGGACGTTACCATGTGAGACAGGAATGGGCCCTGGTGCTCTGTTTAAAAAGTTCTGGTTGGGAGGGACTTGACCTGGTTGCATTTGACCACCTGCACCTCCAAGCTGTTGCTAAAGAAAAGAATTGAAAGCATCAGCAAGTGAGTTTCAGATCAGTTCATTTGGAGGAAGAAAACATTTACCAGGGTCAATAAAAATCGAATCATGTACAGATTCTAGAACTTGACGAGTTCTGTGACCCAGATGTTGAGGTCATACAGCAACTTATTTTATCTAAACATTTTAGAACCATCACAAAAACCTTCTAAAACATACGTGTTAAACTCATTGTGAAAGAATTAACAAGGCTGCCATCTTTGTAGTGTTTTCCTTCACTTTTTGGTGAAGTCTAAACTTCTATGAGGAACAGCCGAAGAGAAACCTTATGTCCAGAACTGTACACCAGTACTAGAACAATTTGCAGAAGTACCACAGTCCTGCTTTCACCACAACTCATGGAATGAGAAGCTGTAGGAGGTGATTGTCTCTAGGTGGCAAAATGAATCATAAAAATAGCTAATAGAAATGGCTGCTCTTACTACAACTACCACATGGGATCAGAAAAATCATGTGGACAAATGTCTATGTTGGAACCTCTCAACCCAAAAGGGTTCCATCTTTCAAATTACAAAATACAATCACAAATTTCAAAATATAAATCTAAACAATTATGAATGTTTTAGCCCTGTGATTGCTGTGACCTTTGACCTCTACTGATGTTTATATTTTCTTAAACATATTACAACTCAAATCAGTCACTAAACTAAACTAAAACAGCTTTTTATGTGCTGTGTTCTAGAAAGCACAAGAGTGAATGTGGACCTACTAAAATACCCATTTATTATGCTTAACTCCGACTGTTGAGGCCTAATTTTAACACTTGCATAACTGAAACTTATGTAAATGAATTTTGGCAAAAAAAGGGGAAGAAAGAAACAGGACTGTGGATTCCGTACACTATCGCTTACAATAAAATTGCTTTTGGTGCGTTTTCATTGTGACAGTAAGGACACCAGGAGGAAATGGAGAGTCTTTCGATGTTTTATATTCATTTTAAAAGCTGAACCAACAACTCTTCCTATCCAGCCTTTTTATCAAAATAAATTAGTATTTCCCACCTTCTTAATCTAGTTATTTTTGAACCATAATGAATTCTTAATCTGCATTAGTAATCCATGTATTTGCAGCATGTAATTGATATTACCTACGGTAAGAACTGTAGGAGCTTTAGGTCGAATCTACATATTCAGATCTTTTGTTCATTGCACTGCAATGAAAAGCTAAATCAAACATGGAGAACGATGACAAACCAGCCAGGATTTTATTCTACCTCACCTCCCAATGAGCTCTTTGATGTTATAGTTTTCATGGTAGAATAAGGCAGTTAGTGTAAAGTGGAAAACATTTAGTCTGTTTCAAAACTCATAAAAGTATAAACATGTACACAAACATAAAATGTATATTTACAGTACGAATACTTGTGCAGTAATGCTATCCCTCCTCTACAGTAAAGAAATATAAACGAACCATAAAGAACAGCAGAGTACTGAGCTATCATCTGTGTCAAGTTCTGAAACAGTGACAGCACCATCCTTCTGTCACCTATCGTCTGTGATTTATGTCTCGCCTTTTACTCGGGAACCTTTAACAGCCCAGTCTGTGTGTCAAAACCAGTCTATAAAGTACAAAAACATCTCTTCTTATGAAGATAGTAGACACCAAGAATGTCACTTGAGGGCCTTAAACAGTGAAATTTTAACTACTAGTCCAAATTGATAATTTAATTTTGTCTTGACTGCTGTAGCGCATCTTTATTAGCAATGCAGCAGTGAATACCTGATACACTGAAAGAAAATTAGGGGGGAAATTAAATTCACGTTTCTGGTGTCTAAAAATGCACCTGATGAAGACGGAGCTTTAAGTTACATCAGTGGTTAACACTATAGTACATAGAATTAGCATTCAGAGTAAACAAGTGCTACGGCTGCCTATGAGATTAGAGTGCCACATGGAATTCAATTCAAGTTGATAATGTGCATCATTAATTTTAAACTTCACAGGGAATGGATGCTGCAGTGTTTCACAGCTACATGGGAATTTACAGTAACGGAATACAATAAACTGCAGTGAGGCAAACAGATGAAGCAGATCAAGGAAGGGTAAATGTAAATAATGAATTATTATTTTATATTAACATGTTTTGCCAAATACGCACAATATATACACATACATATAAACACAGTGTATACAATGTGTATTAATGTATTTGTTTTTTACAACAACGCTATGTTGTGTTTTGAATGCAGTGGTCAGCTAATGTTGCAATTGGTGCTAATGCTTAACCCATTAGCCTCTACAAGAGTAAGAAACATTAGCGGCTGCCGTGAAGATACTGGGACCACTAAATGAAATGTCAATACCAATACACCTTAATGTCTTAAACAATGCACCTCAATTCCCTGGTGCTTCTCTAAAATGCCTACTCATTACCTCTACCTGATGGTCTTCACATACTACATATTCTCTCCAGCCGAGTCCTTCCCACCCTCCTCCATCGCCCTTCCTCGTCTTTGTGTCAGGACTCACCACTCTGTGCTGTTGGACCTGCTTGTGGTTGGTGATGACTTGCCGGATGCCGTTGACAAAACCGCTCTGGTCGTTAGGAATGAGGCCCATGAATATTCTCTTCTTGGAGGAGTAGAGCAGCATCAGCACCCGCACTTCACAGGGAGAGGTGGTGTGGGGAAAGTGGACACAGCCAGCCTGCGGGAGATCATGGGGAAGATTAAGACCTTGACATGGGAGTCCCGCATAATTATGGGATGGGGTAAGGCTCGGGGAGCTGACCTACTCCTGAGCTCATTTGTGCAATCAAACATATCGCTTTTAGAAATTGAAAGCAAAATGTTATTATCTGAAATCTTAGGATGTGTCTCTGGGCTGTGAATCAAACTTAGGCAAAGAGGTAAAGCTCAGCTGGACTGAATACCATTAATATGAGTGCAAATTCACACTGGTATTAAACTATTAATAATGCACCACGGCGACAATCCTTCACCCCTCTGTTCCCAAAATTATCCTAGGACTGAATGAGAACTAAACAATTAAAGCTTCTTTGTCTAAAAAGATGTTTAAAAGCCTACTATTTGGCAACGAATGAAACTAAATCTGCAGCCTTTAACCCCCTCTAGAGTCTCTACCACAGCACTGCAACACAACTTTACATCCAGCCCTTTCACTGGGCAGCAGAGGGAGCTGTACTTTTAGGTCAGCTGGGGGTTATGCCGAACAGCACAACCAGCGTGGTAATGTATAACATCAGGAAGAACGTAGAAACGTGTCTGATGTGACGTAGACGTACAAATCCACTGGTCATGATGCGGTAAAGACCCTTCAGGGACTCCAAGTCTTTGTTAGTGAAGAGGAACTGAACCATTCGAGAGTTTCTGAAGAGGGGACCTAAAGTTGTCTGCAAAGAGAAAAGAGAAGACCTATTTAAGCAAGCAGAATCGCCATGAAATACAAAAGTCAGTACCATGCCAAAAACATTTTAGCCTAAAAAAAAGAAGAAAAAGATAAAAATCTCACCAGTAGCTGCTGTGGAATTAGCTGCATGATTAGTTTCTGTGGCCATTGGTCTGTGTTTCTGATTAAAGACAAACATGTTAAAAGTAAGCAAAAAAAAAAACAAAACAAAAAAAAACAACATAAGATTTTAAATATATTATCTACTGATAATGATACTCTACTCTGGCGCTATACTCACAGATTTTCTCCTTGGTTGACATGAACTTGACAAGGTAGAGAGCGTGTCAGTTTAGTAGCTGAATCCATTGAGGAGGCTTTAGGCTTCTGCAGGGTAGAGGAGGAGACAGACATAAAACAAAGATGAATAAGTGGTACAACGTACAGAGTGACTTACAGTTGTTAACTCGTACTCTAAATCATTTATTATTGTCATGAAAAAAGCTAATTCAAAGCTGCATAATAACAACTTTTACAGAAAAGATGATCCGTCAATTTTCATTATTTACACATTTAACAACATGGCAGAAAAATGGGGGGTCGTTAATTTAGAAAGCTCACATGCTGCCCCCCACTGCCCCTGACAGCCTTGCCATCAGATGGTAGATGGCAAAACTTGGAGTGTAAGACATTTTGATTGGTCATCAAGACTAGAAAAGTGCTATAAAAACAAAGACCATTTAATATGTGTTTAGCGAAGAAAATGGAGAAAGTGAATTACACACAAAAGGAAGAAAAAAAAGACTGTTTGTATTGTATGAATAAAATACATATTAAGTATTTCAATGTCTGCCTACAAGATCAAATCCTGCCAAGAGTTCCAAGTGACAGATGTACAGCACTGGCACTGATACTGGTCGTCAACCAAATCAGCATTGGGGATGCCTCAAAGAATAAATGAATAAACAAAAAGGGCTCTAAAATCAAGGCGTTAATAACGTAATTTGTCAAATTTAACACGTGGGAAGAATGACCTGCATTTCTGTAGCTCTACAGTCCATTTACGTTTTGTTATTTACTTCCATTTCACCTGAAGATCGAACACAGGGCAGTAGGTAAGTCCACCACTGACAGGCTGACTGACAGTTGCCAAATGGATTACGATGGACTGTAGACTGATTTATGCTGTCGAAGACAAGGACTTCACTGATGTTTGGAAGCTCTCATTGTATTCTACAAGACAGCCAAGATGCACACTAATGAGTGAAATCCATCAACTCATTTTTTGACACTTTTCCATATTTATAATTCCATCATTTGGATCAGTCACAACAAAACAACTGTGAAAAACATAACACTAGTACTTTCTCTTCCAGTAATATACAGTACATACTTTTTGGTCATATTTAGGAAGTTTGATTAAACTGGACAACCATTAATTGTGATTAATCCACAGCTTCCTTTGATTAATCAGATCAAAATATGAAATTGTGTTTGGCAGCACTAAAATGAATAGTAAAAAAGATATCATTATTATATTTAGTATTATTGAAGATTTCTAATAACTGAACAAATACCTCTTTCAGCATTTAAATAGACCAATAGGTTGACCAGAAAAAGGATTAAATGGATCCTGAGCAACAGGACAGAGTCTTTGTTTGGAAACAGCAACATGTGTTGGTCATTTCCTACTGCCCAGTTAGAACAGTTCACAACTCCAGAATCACACCCTCTGACACAGTCGCAGACTTCATCATATGAAGATTTTACTGCGCTTTAACCAAGGGTAAGGTGATTTATAACAGTTTATTTTTAAACTAGCAAATGCAAACACTTTGCCAAGGTGCCAGAACATCCAAGTGATTGTCTCACTTCAAACTCAGCAGTCAGTGTGGTCAATATTCCTCTCTCTCACAAGTAATTAAAGGGCAATAAATGATTTTTATGTTGTGGCTGTAATTAAATCTGAAGGCCAAACTTATAGGCTGCTAAACAGCAAAGCATTTATATATGGAGCTTGTTGCCTGGTGCCGGAGTGGATTTGTACCCGTCACGTTCCTGCCAAGAGGAGTGTTCACAATCTTTATGGCCTTTTATATCAAAAGACTGTTATTTTAATGCGCAGGGCGTGGGAGTGTGGGCATCTCTCAAATTATTTATCGCATCTCTATCCTCTGGTCTTGAGTAGCTCATCTTGAGCTTTGCGGAAGATATCAAAGAAGACAGGGATATCAAACTAGATTTGTTCTGTAATTACTTACGTTACAGTTTGATTTGTCAGCTGCGAGCTGCTCGGCAGTAATAAGCACTGCTCTTTATTCCGATCGTTGATTCAACATCCCGTTACTGCAGATATTTTTAATATTTCTGTGTGATTTCTCAGCTTCATCAAGAGTGTTGTTTGTCACCTTTGGTGTCTGGAATATTTATAGTCGGAAAAACATTGTGCTTCTAAGCGCTGTTGACACTTTGGCGGCTGTTAGATAATGTTACTGTTATCTGCGCGTTTTACCATCACTTTCAGTGTTTGAAGGAAGAAAACTGTGGGATAGCAGTAGATCACGGCTCACTGCAGGGAGCAGGTCTGATTTTGCAATTACTGCAAGAAGCAGCAGAAGAGCTTCAAGCTTTAAGCACAATTCAGATGGTTGCTCTCACTTACAGCTGCTTTAAGTGTACAAATTTAAAGACAGTTCACATGATTATACTTTAATATAAAAGTCAACATAGTACATTAACCTAAAATAGGGTAAAATGTGTTCTTATTTCAACCAATGTTTAAGCAATCATTAGCCTGTCACTGGATCAAATCCTCATTTGACAATTCTTATCTATTTAATAACTAGAGAATTCTCAGTATCACAGTATATAAATCCTAATCCTAATTGTCTAAATCACTCCTTCAAGCACTGACAGAAGTTAAATACAATATAATTAAAAATCCTCTTTCCCCATAAATATTGAACCCACTTTTCTTCCCAGGGTTAAACTGACTGACTGTTTCCTTGGATTGCTAAATTAAAAAAAAAACAAAACTGGTCAAAAGGAGCAACACTAATAGATGTGTTGTCTTGACAAATTACTAGAAGGCTTCATATCAATCAATCTACATTTCCATGCAATACTGCTAATACACTGCACATCGTTACGTACTGGCTTCTACTTCTTTTTTGAAAATGTCCTCTTCATGCTCATTTTTATCCCCACAAACAACTACTGACCACAGAACAGTGTTTGGTCCTTTCAAAGTAAGATCCCTAACCAGCAGAGACCTTACTCAGCAACAAGACAGTTCCATTCATTTCATATCCACAATGAATGCTTTCAGCTTTGTTATTTTATTTTTTGGCTGTCTTTTAAGCAGTCGGGTTTGGGTTAGGACCAAACACAGGTGAGGTGACTCACAAGTTGGATTTTGTTCACAACTCTGCCTCAGAACCCCAATTAGGTCAGGAAATTTTAAGGAGAATGGATGGATGGAGTTTTTCAGGTAACATTTTCTATTGTAAGATCAGCTTTTTTTGTTGTTAAGTTGGTCAATGCAGCAATAGGACGGGAAACGTGTTGGGCAGCCTCCCACTCTGTAGCATCAATGAGGGATCAATGATCAATCCGTCATGTATCGGTCAAGTCCCTTTGCCGTCCATTAGAAATGCATTATGTTTATCCTCCTCTTCAGGCTCATTTAATTACAGAGCTTAGTGAAGATGGAGCAAACGACAGGTAGTGATGAAACAGACCTTAAATTAAAGTCGCCCACCCAGAGGATTCTGGAAGGTTACCCCATATTTTATAGCAAAAGCTTTCCAGAATTAACAGATTGAAATTCAGCCAGGACAGAATGCACCATTATTGACAACACTAGTCGGAAAAAGCTCCAGCCAAATGAGTTGGCATCATTATGTGAGAGGGTTTTTTTGTTTAAAATCAACAACCACTTCTTAAAATAATAATAAATTACTGTCTGCAGTGTGATTCTTCTTAATGTTTTCATTAGTCTGGCATTGAATCAGCACTAAAATCCTGATGAGTTAACAACAAGGGGAGGCATCAGCTTAGCAGCAGTATTTCACATGGATAATCTGTCCACTACAGCTGCTTGTATAAAGGCGATTTGAGAGACTCACTAGTTTTCCCGCTCTAACTGCATTTCACTCAAGTCCTAAATAATTGACAAACAAGTGGAGAGTAAAGCCAGTATAAGGGATTGATTTGAGTCTGTCCAGCAAACACTTGAAGGTCCAACCAGTGTCACATGAAACCCATTAACTTTCTCGACTCAGCACAACAACAATAAAATATATTGATCTGACCTTGCGCAAGGCCAGTGGTGTTAAAGGGTATAATGATGTAAAATCGTTGTCACTTCATAAATATCAATGACAAATAGTGATTACTTCAAAACTGCACTGGACATTACTTAGAGTCTGTAATTAAAAAAATAAAATAAAATATTAAAAATTACATTAATTACAACAAACCCAAAAATGACATTACAACCCCCACCTCTCAATTTAAAGTTTATGTACGTTACCTCTTGCCACTCCAGAACACCAGTCCACGCAATTATCTTATTGGCAACACTTTGCTGCTGTCCAATTGGATTAGCATTGCTCTGTGGTCCAGTCACACTGGCCTGTTGAATAAAGAGCAGAAAGGTTGTGATTACATACAGCTTTCAGCTTTAATGCATACTATCTTAAAAATTACAGCTGATCAGACCAATTATTCAGATACAAATATAAGGAATAGCTTCAGTTAAACTATTAGCAAAATTGTTGTTACCAAGTTGGGCTGAACCGAGGGAGCTGTGGGCTGATTGGCTGCAGGTTGTGGTTGAGAAGGCTGCTGTGGTGGTTGGTTGGGGGGAGGCTGCCCTTGAGAAGGGACCTGCTGCTGCTGGTTGGGTGCAGGTTGTTGCTGCATCAAAGACGACGACGCTGTAGTGACTGTTGATATGCTTGGCTGGCTGATCTTCACTCCTCCAACCGATGGCATGTGGGGCTGATTTGCAAATGGAGGACCTTGAGTAACCATTCCCTGGACTGTTCAAGGAGAATGACCATTACTGATACAAACAGACACCATGGGGTCACAGGTAAAAAGAAAAAAAGAGCCCTTATGAGGTCATTTAAAACAAGGATTTTACAACACACACAAACATTGCACCAACAATGCAACATTACAGTTTCTGACATTCTCCACAGCTTACTTACAGCAGCCTTTCTGGATAGTCGCTGCCTCCATGACCATCTTTGCTGCTGAATGAGCAGCAGTCAAGGGAGGTTGACTCTGTCGGAAAAAAAAAGGAGTGTAAGCTGTTTTGTTCACAAACGAAGCTTTCCCGGACTAAATATTTGTCTCCTTGCAACCTTAAGTCTATGTTCTTTTATCCAATACCTGATAAGGGTGGGTGGTATTAATGGGCGGAGCCTGTTGTGTAGCTCCCATGAGAGGTTGCGAAACCGGCAATGGCTGACTAGGAAGGACAGGCTTAAGTGTCCCTGGACCGCTGTTTGAGGAAACTGGGGCCAGAAAGTTTTTAGTTTCAACACAGTCAAATTGAAACAAAAACAACAGTAGATACATAGACAAAAACACAATTTTTACATTGCCATTTGCTGACGTCACATTTCAGCACTCCTAAACATCACTGACACTGTATATCATAAGTATTTTATGCTTTGGTAAAGTATTCATAAATAGACCTGCAAAACTGCAGAACAAAAGAAAACATGTTAGTTAGTTAATTAGTATTTTATATATATTTTAGATCAAAGACTATATTAATGCCTAGTTTAAACAGGGGTCGTTTTTACACCACTTATCTTACCTGGAAGAGAAATTCCTCTCACTAGGACCATGTGGAAGGCATCCTGACTGCAGTCTGGATGAGGTTCAACTCCTCCAACTACAGGAGACGCACGCTCAAACAGAGCCCTTAGAGCAGGCAGCTTGCGAGGAGCAACCACTGAGAAATGAATTCCCTTCTACAAAAAGGAAAAAAACAAAAACACTTTCAATCACGCTACCCATTACTCAGCCTTTCTTCAATAGATAAGCAAAAAAATTAATTACTTAAAAACTTACATCTCTGATGATTTTAACCAGGTTGTCGGCTGTACAGCCAGTGTAGCTCACACTCTCCACAGCAGGCAGCAGGTACGGAGGAGAGTTACACAGCAGCACACACACCTTGTGGGTTTGGCCTCTGGTAATGGTGGAGATTTAAAAGTGGAGATTTTTATTGATATAAGTACGGTAAATACTGACAGCTTAGATATGAAGAAAGGTATTAAGATGACATTATTATATTAATTTAGTAACAAGCATTTGGAAACAGCACATTGGGTGGGGTGGGCAATTAGATCCACAAAGGGCTGCTGTGGCTGCAGGTTTTTGTTCCAACCAAGCAGCCGCACACCTGACTTGGCTTATTTAATCAACTGCTACTGTATGAGTCTTCAGACAGCTGATTGGTCACTCACTGTGTTCTGGATAGGTTGGAAGAAAAACCTGCAGCCACAGCGGCCTTTTGTGCCCAAGTCTGGGTTAGTCATTCGGGTGTGGTGCACGCATGACAAAAGCAGATAAGGATTCAGCAGTTTTGTTACTGGTGTTTAAAGGAGAAACTCAATAAGTCAAGTTAACACATGACTAAAGGATGAGCAACGCAGATTGTTACAATCAAACATTTAGAGGCCAAAATTTAACAGGCGTAATACATTTTCAGTATTACCATTGTTCTCTTCATTACTAAACAGTGTACAAGAAGTGACCTACATTTGTTCCCTCATCTTCTTAAAGTCGTCAAAGAGCTGCAAGGCCACCGAGAGTCCCTCTGCAATTAAACTACAACTTTCCGCTCCACCGCCCATGAACCTGTATCAAACAACATTATGAAATGAGTTTAAAAAGTCACTGTGTCAGTCCTAAAATACTGATGCTAACAGTCTGTAGACAGCAATTATTAAATAAATATATGCTTTGTATTTAGAGATTTGAAAATGTATGTCAAGTTACTGTATGCCGTCGATCCAGGAGACAAACTCAAATGCAGAGCTGGTCGGCGCGTGGCACTGGACGTAAGACTCTGGAGCACAGTCTACTGTATTGAACACCACAAGGCCGTACTGTGTGCCTCCATACTGGTAAAAAAAGAAACAAAGGAATTAATATGAACAACCTGCTTACAAGACTTTCAGAATAACTCCTAAAAACACATCAGAAATCAAAGAAAAGACTCACATCTCCACCAAAATCAGTTTCTGCTGGGGGGCCTCCATTGAAGAATCTGTGGGAAATAAAACCACTTGTAAACAAATATATTTGAATGTGATTAATTGATACCCAAGTAAATAATAATAACAATAACAATATTAACACTGTTGCATTCTTACTCTATAGCTGGAAGTATGTAATTTTTCCGAAGCGATTCAAAATAAGGTCCAAGGTTAGCCGTCCCTTCGATTACAAACACCACATCGGCAACCTGGTTGAGCCCAGGTTTTGTGGATGGCTCCATGAGTGCTGAACCTGCAACCATGGAACTGGAGAAGGGACACATTGTTACATTTAACTTGACATACATACATGACGTACATAAAATGTGCAATGCACTTTGGATTTATTTATGTTGGATGTGGGGATAGACACATTTGCTGGGGGGAAAGGGAACTAGTGCTATTATAGCGAAAACTGCTTTAAATAAATTAGAAAAGTGACATAGTGAGGGTTAGAAAAGTTGTAGAAGCATCTCTTATGCACCACAGCCAGTGCTCAAATTTGCTGCGAGCTGTCAAGCTAAAATTATAGAAGTATGTAACCAGCTTAAAATCTAAATCACAACTTAAATACGCAAACATATGCAATTTAATATTCTCATAAATATAATATAATCTCTAAAAGTATTTATGTATGCATTTGTTTACCCTAAAAGTTACTGTGCTAGCATCGGTAAAAGGTGAAAAGAAGTCGACCAAGTACGTGCCTAAAATAAAAACATTCATATTGGAAAAAAAGTATAAACTTCATAGACAATTGGTTATACCGGCAAATAAACAAATATAAAAAGGACAAAAGGAGCAAAACATTTAATAAGGCTAAATTCGGTGTATTTATAGAAGGTAACATCAAGAAACAACGTGAGGAAACTGTTTTCAAAATTAACTAATTAACCTTTTGTTCTATAAGCACGACTCAAATCAGAATGCTGTCGTTACCAGCTACTAACCTGGTGGTGTATGACGCCTAGTACAGTCCCGACGCTGATTTGAATTTAGAATGTGAGGAAAAACCAGGTGAAATCAACGAATGCTAAAACAGCGGAACTAGCATAAGAGATACCATTTGTTTGTGGTTGTGACGGAAGTGGGAAAACGACACGCCCACGTTGAAATGTCTCTGTCTTCTTCGGCGGCTCATACAGCAGACAGTGTTAAGACTCTGTATGACTGCGTGCTGCCACCCTTCCGTGGTTATTATGTGTTTTCGCAGCATCTACTTTTAGTTTTGAATTTGTTGCTATTTTAAAATACTAAAAGCCACAGTTTTATTACATAGCAAAGATTCAACCACATCACTAAATAACCGCTCTGCAGGAAGAAGAAGACGATTAAATGATCTGTCCACATAAAAAATAAATACAAAACATTGATTCATATTATTTGTTTAGCAACATAAATCGGGGAGACCGGGTATGGTTGTAACAGTTTTTGCTTCAGGACCTGTAACTCACTAAATATTTGAGCTAGAGTTCTCAAACTTTTATACAAAGTATATGTTAGTAGTATTGTTTACTACAAATGATACCAATTTAAACCTCTGCAAGAATATCACAGACCTCGTGAGCTGATCATATGTTTACCTCACGCAGAGTCAGTCCGTAATACAGGTCTGCTGCCTGAGTCCAATAGTCAGCCAATAGTCAACCTACTGCATCTCAGAGTAACCTACACTGGGAAGATCACTGGACCTCTGCTCTCTCAGCTTCTGCAGTGATTTGCAGTATCTGCTCAGTGTTACATGGCAGATCCCATGTGCCTTTGCAGCTGATCTGACTGACTTGCCCTTCTTTGTGACCTCATCAGATCTAAAACATTTGCAGGCACACCTCTGTCAGTCTTTCTTGTCCACTGCCAAGGCATTCTGTAAAATGTATTAAAATTAAGAAAGTGTTCTTAGTTGTATGTAAGGGCGTGGTTGTAACACTTTTTAAAGATGTGTTACAACCCACCTTGCCCCTGTCAGCCACTGTTTAGCCGCTGTATTGGCATAGTGGTTTGAAGCAGGGGAACAATGCATCACATTTTGCCTGAGAAACTACAATTTAATCTATTGTAAGTCACAAGGTTTTATGTACAATAGTATTAGTACTAAACAAAATATAGTCTTGGTCAAAGAATTATAGTAGTGTAAGTATTTTCTCTATAGAATCTGCATTGCCCTGTTTCCAACCTTGACAACCACCATGTGGGACCAATCAGGGTCGAAGTGGGTAAACACTGAAATGATCATATAACTCCTATCTTATCCCTGATTGGTGGAATTGGTGGTGTTACAACTCCCCCCATGTTACAACCATACCCGGTCTCCCCTACACATCAGCAACATACTTAATGTGATGCATAAAAATGAGACACATTAAGGCAAAACATGTATGTTCATAGACAACCTTTTCTTTCACTCACTCGTCACACATGCCTTTCAAATATGGTAAAACATTTAAAAAAAACATCATCTTCAGTTATATTTTAGGGTCACCTCTATACTGTAGCATCATTTTGTACAATTTCAACCCCTGTAAAATGTGAGGGATTTAGAAATCGACACGATGAGGTAAGACTTTCACTTAGTGGAGGGTGACACTGAATTAAGGACATCAGGTCATCACTGCATTTTATCCTTTTCATTAAATCTCTTTCTTGAGTGCTCTTCCGTGGTATGTCTTATTAAAAATGTAATCTGTTATCCTATCTGGGTTGAATCCCTTTAATGTCCACTTTTAGGAAGACTAGGCAGACAGCCAACAGAGAACTTTCCACAGGGGTACAATTGGTAAATCTATAAAGATGCTAACGTACTGCAAAAAGACCAATGCGAATAGAACAGATAGAAACACCTAGGTACGTTATCATTAGATTCATCTGCCGTCATTATAACCAGAGAAGAGGAGAAAATCTATTTGAATCATTTTACCTGGTAAATAAAAAGCTAAAAGTTTAGATTAGTATATTTGTAAATTTAGATTTACAAATAAACTCATTTAGGTAAATATATATTTAAAACGTTTACTAACATTTTCTGTGGTTTTAAATATTCCTAAAATGCCTTCAAGTATCTACATATGCAATAATTTGTATTTATATATTATTATTATTTATTTAAATAAATGATTTTGCAGAGCTATTTACCGCGGTGACACTAAGTAAAGGAGCAGCCAAAAGTAAATTCTCTTACTAAAACATTATACAGTATATTTCCTTTGCTATTCAACTAGTTATCCAGCAGAGGTCAGTAAATACACAGTAATATGCATAGTAGATCAAGGCTCTTTATCACAGAAACAAGGTTACGGATAATGAGTTCAAGGGCCTTAGATTCACCGAGAGCAATTTAAATTTAGCAAGTTTGCTCATTTCAGATTCAGTGAGGATGATTAAAATAACAGCTTTGTGTAAGATTACAACAGCCATTCAGCAAATGAAAATCAAATGTTGGTAAGTGACATAAAAAAGGAAAGAAAACAATTAAAGAAAAGTTAGAAAAAGAAAGCTCTTTAGCAGCACTACCCCTTTGTGCTGAATGGAACATATAAACAACAGCAGCTCCGGGCATGTTAACCTGCACTCACCTCAGTGTATTTACACCAGAGCCTAACCTGCAGTTGGAACACACTGAGGCACTATTTCTTTGTGTCCAACAATAGCATCAACTCCCCTGTGGTAATGCCTGCACATCTGCCCCACACAGCAAAGGGCTCTGGAGCTCATCAGACTCGAATCCTTCCCACAGAGCCTGTTGTCAATTTTACACAAATTCTAACTAGGACAAGAAGCTGTGGGCTCATGCAGCTTTTCCATTTGGGTGTCAATACCGAGGCCTCTTCTGGTGACCTAACGAGAGATGATGTGTGTACGGATTTATGCACAAAGCTACCCCCTGGATTCATCCATTAAACCCCCCGGAGCTTTTTTATTCTCACAGAGCCATGTGGCCAAATTAAACTGACACAGTGTCTCATCAGTGTTTGTGCATGTGAGTGTGAGTGTGGAAATACCTGCTGAGGCAAGCCTTCACTTTGCCACTGTGATGCTTTATGCTGCTCAGAGGGATATACTGTCTCACTGCTTTGAACTTCAACACACACACACACACACACACACTGTCCACAGTTGCCAAGCAATTACAGAATGCCACTGTACAGGGTGTGTCTTTGCAAAAGTAAGTTTCCTTTTTATATATATATAATTCTTTTGTTTAGTCAGAGAGGGGCATAATAAAAGATGAATGAGGAGTATGGTCAGTCCTCCCAGTCTGCACCATCCAGGTGGTGTGATAAAGACAATCCGTCTCCTGACCGTCGTACCCAGCTGCGATGCTGAGGGCCAGATGGTCTGCTCACAACAGGTAATCACAGCCAGCATGCTGATACACTGACATCTACACAAATGGGTTATCAGAACTACCCAGGGCATTTGGGATGCAGGGATAGTAACCTTCACTGCCAGTCTGTATGTGTCATGCAGGAAACTAAATATAGTGTACACAATCACACAATTTTTTCAGTTCTTCACGCCCATACCTACCGGTCAACCTAATTCCTAATCCTCATGTTTTCACTGTGCATGGCACCTGAAGTACCTGGCCATAATCCCCCCACACACAGGGAGAACATGCAAACTGCATACAGAGAGACCATCAGTTGACACAAGAGATTAAACTGTCATCATCCTGCTGTATAAGGCAAGAGCACAAACCACTCCCTCGTGGTGCCATTCCATTCTCTCCATCCCTTATTTGAAATTCTACATACTGCACCAGCTCGGTAGTGTCAGATATTGTTTCACAGAAGTTTGACTTTGTAAGGCGAACATCCTGAAGTCCCTCCTAGGAAGTTATTTATACAAAATATGATCCGGGTCCAGTTTCCCGACCAGCTCTGATAGTACTGTTAACACAGCAGAGACAAACTACTTCAATACTGCTTCTGGCTGAGGTCTAACTTGCATGCATTAACTGAATATATTTTTATGGAAAGTTTACTATTTAATTTATAGAGAGGGAATAAAGAAAGACACCAAAAGAGCCTTTCATGAGCATAGATGTATCTGTTGGCTTTGGCAGCTATTTTATAGACTTCTATAAGAATAGAAATGATGGAGGGTTTTTTCCATTGGAAAATAAATCATCTCAATTACCAGGTTTTAGGTCTTTTTAAAAAGTAAAACAATATAAATACTGAGAATTATGACCTCATTAGGACAATAAACATTGACAGTTGAACAGTTAATGCACCCCACAAACAAACAGACTCATTCTGATTATCTTAATCTAATTCAAGATGCAACAAAGACACAAATAAGTAATTAAAGCCACAGCCAAAAAGGGAAATAAGTGGATTTTCTCCCATTTTGTATTATATTTTATTATTTGTTACCTTTATATCAAATAAAGCTCATGATTTTATAGTGCCTGTGTTTGTTGTTGTGAGTAAAGGTATGAAGATTGTGTTTGAAGTTTGCATGAATTTCTTTTAAACAGCACTTCAACGCTGTAAAAAAATAAAAAAGCTAAAGAGTGTAAGAGTCAGTATCAGTTCAAGGATTCATCAGTGGAAGAAATTCATTTTAATGGAAAGTCGTCTCCTTATTGAGGAAAATACAGTATTTTTGAACCCTTTGAGGCCAGGTTTGCAAATTTTGAAGTTTTGACATAACATTGTTAGAGATGTACAGCTCCCCCACCACTGGGAGCCCAACACTATATAGTACCCTGGCAATGTTAATGTCAGCTCGCTCTGTCCTGCTGTGATGCGTTTTATACTTATACATTTCATTCACAGTCCAAGACACTATTGTTGGTTTAAATGTATAATGTGATTGTGCAGATAACGTTTTGACCAATTAAAGGGGTTGCGAGCAGCAACAGTTATATTATAAACACCCCCTGCAGGAGAGGAAGAGTGCTAAATGCTGTATTTATCTTAAATAACACGATGAAGGTTATTATGACTGTGTACTGTATAATGAGGAGATATATTAGCAATAAGAACCAATCTCTTGCCTGTCAGCTGACCTTAGATAAATCCCTCCAGTCTGATACAAACAGCTCTATATTTCCTCCCTCGGTCTTTGACTCCCCCCCTCCCTTCCTCTTTGCTTCTTTCAGCTCAGTGAACTGAGTGAAATGTCTTTCTGACTAAATGATTTTCTTTTTTTTTTGCACTATGGGAACGTTGCCATGGAGACCCCCCTCCCTTCGTTTTTTTCTCTAACAACAGTCCAATGCATTCAATCTTTGCTAACTGCTGCTTTGTCCCATATGTTTGTGCACACAACACAATTCAGTGTGTTAGTGTGTGTGTGTGTTTCACTATTCTTGAACTGTTAACACCATTTGTATGATGCAGGTGCCCCACAATGAGTGTGTCTATATACAGAGCTCTCATCCTCCTCCTCCTCCTCCTCCTCCTGTCGCTGCTTCGACACACATTCTGCATGCAGCTTACGCCTCTCTCCTCCAGGTTTTCCCCATTCGTGTCCTCCTCCTCCTCCACCTCCTCACTGGCATTCTCCTGTTCTTCATCCTCCTTCATTTGTTTAATCCTCTTCTACTCCTCCTTCTCTGTCATTCCCCTGCACATCTGAGCTCGGTCTTCCTCCTCCGCTCTCTGCTGAAGCTCCAGGGTTGTGGATTGCTACTGGGCCTCTTTGCATTAACAGGAGATAATAGCCACATGACAAATAATGGCAATAATGAGAGTTTAAAAATAAAGGGAGTTGAAAAAGAAGCAGCAGCAGAGAGGGAACAACTCCACGGGACAGGCATCTCTGCACCGTTTTGCATTCAGGCAAATGCAGCCACAATAAAGAATTAATGACAGTGACTGAATAATTACATCCGACCTGAAGCACATCAGATAGTCAGAGAGCAAGGCAATAAAAAAGCCGGTTTCGAGACACTTCTGTCCAGGTAGAGTGTCTGTAAATATTACATTCATCAAACTATCCACAGACTTAAGACTTAAACGTTAATTTAAGTTGAACCAAATATGAAACTTTTCTGTAAATTGATCGACTAAGTGAAGTGTTCTGCCTGACAAACGTGACATTAAATGCTCAACGCTTCGATTCCCTCTTGGACTAAAAGAAGTCAAAGACAGCAGCGTGGGTTATACATATCTTTTATTTCCATTATCATTGATTCAGTCACACTGTTACATCTTCACCGAGATCCTGCCAGCCGACACAGCTGTCCTGACTGAAACAATCTCCTCAAAAGAACTCCACACTCCAATTCTCAGCATTAACCAATAAAAAAGTAAACCTCTTGAATAAATAATACGTAAAAAAAGCAACTCAGAATCCAAAAGAATACCGATTTGAGAAAGATAAGTACAGCATAAATGTTATTCCATGTTATTCCATCGCTGCTGTTTTTACACCGCAAAGATAAACAACTGCGATTCTCTGTTTAGTCATCATTAGTAGTATTAGTATCAAGTTCATTGTCAGATTTTGCTCAGAGCATCTTTTATATAATTTTTCATTGCATCAAGTTGACATCATTCATGTTAATATAAGCATGCAAACATGTTTCCCCATGACCATTCAGAACTGCACTAACACATGAAGACAGCGAGAGAAAGAGAACAGAGAGGAGGTGGGACAGAGAGACGGGAGCAGAAATAAAGAGAGACGACGAGGCATTGGGACGTGGATAAGGAACGAGATAAGAACAAAAGTGCACGGAAGGAATATAAGTTATCAAACAGACAGAAACAAAAATGAGAGGAAGATGGCTGGGAGTAAAACAAGAAGCTGGTATCACAATGAATTCTGCAATGTATAACAAGACAGAACTACAAGAACTAAATCACTAGACACAGGCAGAGAGAGAGAGGGGGGGGGGGGGGGGGGGGGGGGTAAGAAAGGAAGGTGGCTGGGAAACAGAGAGAATCATGAGGCCTCACTACCAATGGATCAATACCATATCTACTTGTACAAGCTGATCAATAATCCCCAGCTGACAAACCAGGCAGAATACTTGCTGGGAACTATGCAGGATATGTCACATTCCAAAATACCTGATCGAGCACACTGAAAAGTCTCAATGTAGTTTCATGACCCAAAGGTGACACACACACAAAAAAAGATCCAAAATACACGCACGCACACACACACCTTCCTTCCTGGTCAAAAGTGCGTGTTTTAAGTATGAAAGAATGATAAGTAAATGGCAACGGTGTTGTGCCGTTGTTTGGCTGAGATAATAGAAGTAGCTGTAGTTGTGGTGTCAGACATGGCTTCATAGGTTTGAATTGGACTGCGGAGGAAGTGCAGAAATTCCGAGTGCTTATTTTCTCTCAACACCTCCCTCCTCCCTGTTGTCTTGCTGAAAAAGGGATAGAAATTTCTCCTGATCTGCAGGCCACGACAAACGAGCCTCAGATGTTAATTTTTTTTAATGTATTCCTTCTAGTAAATTTAATCAAAGCACACCCAACAATTTCATTTTCATCCACGGTGCCATCCATTTGTTTTGTTTTTTCCCCGAGCACATACAGTACACAAATTACTGAAAGAGGTACACGATCAACACAGTTACTTACATCAGGCAAAGGCTGATTTCAGAGACGACACACAGTAGATCGTACAAACTAATGTCTATGAAAGACAGTGTTTCAACATAGTGCAATGAGGCACGTAAAGTAAACACACACAAACACATTCCTATGGACACACACACGCACAGATTACATCCATGGTAAAGACACACGAGACACGGCACTTCTCAGTCTGTGGATGTCAGGAGAGTGGAGGAGAGAAAAAGGCCGGGGGGAGAGTGGTGAGCACAGTATAACACTGACACACACACACACACACACACACATACACACGCGCATACACAAAATCACACACGCACACGAATACAAAACAAACACACACACACAAACAAACAAACAAACACAGAAAACACACTAACAAAAGCAACACAGGTGTGTGTGTCCTTCTTAAGTCTTGTCAGAGAAATGATGTGGATCTGTGAAGGGTCTGCGGTTGAAGGAAAGGAAACGACCTTGGATGGTATAAAAAAGTGTTGATATCCTGTCTTCTGAGAAATCCTCCAATGAGTGCACTTTTAACAGACGCTGGTCCAATCCCAAACACAGGCTGTATTAAAACTGTGTAGTCCCATCATTAGGGAAAAGTTTCTTTTTTCACTTTGTCCAAAACAAACAGTCCGGGTCCTGCTCGTAGCATCTTATCTTCAGTGGATGGCAGGAAAAAAAACAGATGGGCTTGAATGCATACTCTATGGCTCATCAAAGAACAAAACCCGAGTATGGAGGAGGTCTGAGGCAAAAAATCATGGGGGAAAATAGGACACAATTTTATGGTTGTGTAACATGCTTAGATGACTGAGTTTGTTCTCATATTTCACTCTTGTGACATCAGTAAAGACCAGTGGATGCCTCGTCCGTTTTGCCTCTGGGGGAAATAAGTGAGATGAGTCCAAAACCAGAGGAGCAGGGAGAAGGCATCCAAAATGGCTGCGAGAATTCTCCATGGATGCCGTGTCTATACTGCACTGTATGTGAAATTAATCGTTTCCTTTTACGTCACTGCATACACTGTACACAAATGTTGCAAAGAAAAATATCGACATAGTGATTTTCTTCTTTTATAGTCTGTAAAAGGGCATGAACCTTTGGTCCTGGTTTAAATGACCATTCAAAGATGGCTGTCGTTCTTTTTTTTTGTTTCTTCAAGTGAAAAGAGAAAAAATGTCACTTTGTACTGTGTCTAGATGAATACTACACTAAACGGAGGCACACAACTACGCACATACTATCAACCATGTGTGTGTGTGTGTATGCATGAGAGTGCTTGCTCCCACATTAACATCTGGCCCACTGTACCAAATGTGTCCTGATGTGTTGGAGAATGAATGATCTGATGTTTAAAGTGTAGATCGTGGATGATGTTTTTTTTTCTTCTCCTGTCCTAGCAGACACAACACAGGATGTGGAGAATTCATTAGCAGGAGCCAAACAGCAGCTAGCAGTGTCTCTGCGCCTCTCTCTTTCTTTGATGGGCAGAATTATTCACAGATGAGGGAAAAAAAAGAAAATTCCAGAGCTGGAGAGATGGTGATGACCTAGAGAAAGAGAAGAATGGGAAAGAACGAGCGGATTAAGTAAGAGGGACACAGTAGGGGACCGGGAGAATGTATAAACAGTGTGCGGCAGTGCAAGTTTTGGGGGAGGAGGGAGAGGTCATTACATAAGCTTTAATATCTAGATTATACAGATGCCTCTCGCCTTGAGCTCTAACATCTGACAGCGCTGCAGCCTCGGCTTTATCAGTCACTTACAGTCAGCTTTTCAAAACCTCGACCAGTTTTCTATGGCCTGTTTGACCAAACAAAAACAAAAAAAAACATACTTCTCATTAAGTTGCATAATAAATTTGAGAGTCTGTCTTCACATGTCAAACTCTTGCAGCTAACGTTAGAGTGGTGAAATGCCTGCTGGGATATAATAATAATCACATATGTACATTGTAAGGAAAACGAGAAGAGGCTCACAGTTCTAGTCAGAGTGTGGACTGTCAACAATGATGTGTGGCTTAGGGGAAGGTGTAGTAGCGCTCTTTGACACGAATGTACCAATCGCTTTCTCCTGCAAAAAAAGAAGAGATTTTATTAATCACCAGTCTGTGACACAATGTGAATAATGTTCTTCAAAAATTCCATGTGTGGATTCACATTACTTTAAAAGTATTATTAAACAACAGAGATTCTAAACTGCAAAAAACTTTATTTCAGACAGGTGGCCCTGTGGTCCGGCTTGTTCGCTTTAGATCAGGCAATATTTGACTTAATTTGTGGACAACAGTGAGCAGCCGTCAATCTCCCCAATGCTCTGTGTGATTTGGGGTGTCAGTGGTTAAACCCAGCTGCCTAACAGTTTATCTTTTCCCTCGGTCCTTCTTTAAACGTCACAACAACAGTTAATCTACACATATGACTTTACGGAGCTGTTTGAACGGCTGACCAAAGGGTAGTTGTCTGGCCCGAGGACATACTGGCATGCAGCCCAGAAAATCCTGAGAGATGTCCTACTACTGTACATTCTCCTGCTGCAATGATGCCCATCAACTGCTAACGAACTACTGTTCATCACTTATCCTTCAACATAAAGCTTTTTCCTGATTCTGTGACTGTTGGAAATAGTGTAGACAGTGACTGGCTGTAGTGTACTGACAACAATAGTTTTTAAGAGACAAACAATTTTCGCACAAGTTCAAAACAAATGATAAGCATCGTTGCTTGCAGCGACCAAACCGTTTGGTGAAGGTTTTGTTTTTGTCCCCCTAATCTTGACAACAAACCATTTAACCTGCAAAAAAAAAAAACCTGACAGACTGTTTGGTATTTGATTCTCACTTTGTGTTCTTGCTTCTTTAGACTTTAGACTTCATTAAAAGTATTTTTTCCCAAAGTTTCTCAAATCTGTTTTTATCGCCACTGTTATCATGTTTATTCATTCAAATAAAAGTAATTTCACTGTGACTTCTACTTGTATTTTAACAACTTCTATTTTAAAGGCTGTTCTGAAGACAAAGTTTGTATTAGCATAGGCTAAAATGTATTTGTACTTTCTTCGTTATTATATTGAACAATCATCATCACTGTTGTTCCTTTAGGTTTCTCCTAATATCCCCAGAAATAGGAATACTTCTATGATGATCTTTCTTTCTTCTATAACGCACAAAGCCTTAAAAAAAGCCACACAAATAAATATACACACGTACACTGGGCACACCGTCACGCTCGCACGCACACCCAGGGCATCGGATTATGATATGCTCATTACCTCCACAAGCTGATGCCAGTGCTCTATGGGTTTGCGTGGATTGACCAGCATGGACGCCCAGTGCTCTCTTCCTGGACCGTCAGCATCACTGCCGACACGACACATCCCTATAACCTCATTATGACCAATACTGACAAGCAGCGAGGCGTAGGGAATGGAGGCATGGACAAGATATACAGAGAGGGGTGAGGTAGGGTAGTGGGGGAGAGGGAGGATATAAAACAGGAGTGAGAAAGAGAGAGAGAAACAAGCACAGAGAGTCTCATTTATCAGCCTTGAGTATTAGGAACAGCATACAGAGGCTGAGGAAGGATATTGAATAGCAGCTCACAAACACACCGTGTAAAAGCTGGATGTCAGCTGGGGGAGCGGGCAGCAGCACAAGTGTAACAAAAGCACACACCTGTGGAGATGCCAAATGGAGGGGAGCATGCATATCAGGAGGTGGTGCATTCAGGTGACACAAACACATCAAGCAGCCAAGTGTTACTGTGAGCGGCAGACAGAGAATCACTGACAGGTTTACACTTCTCCTTCCAGCAGGAGCGTACGTCATGCTTATTCATGAGGTCTTTGGAAAACAGGCAACATCCACCACAGTGGCTCGAATCCTGGGGGATGGCAGGGAGGGGCCACCACACAAAAACACACACACAGCATCAAGATGTAACGACTGTGTCGCAGCAGCAAACACCGTGCAGCATGAGCAAACGCACATTTAATAACGAGCACACTTCACAGAAAATGATCAGTTTCATTTTCCAAATCCGCTGCCACATGCACCAGTGTAGTAAGAGCGATGTTTGCTCACCAGTCATAGTCCATCACTGCAATGACGATGGAAACGCTTTCTATATTTTCATTAGGAATGTCAAACACCAGCGCCTCGTTGTACGTGGGGTTTAGTGTGTTCTTCTTAATGGAAGTCTTCCTCTTTTTTAACCTCCGCCCGTCACACACCAGTGAGGCTTTTACGTAGGGATCTGAATGACAGAGAGAAACAGAAATATATATATATATATAAATGATTATTTGACCTCCCCCCATACCATGTGGGAGCAGTGCGGCTCCCACAGATTTGTTCAGTTTTCGCGCTCAGTGGTTTCTGCGCTCTTAACATAAAAGGCATGAAAATCAAGTCACCTTGACAAAGCTGGATTAAGAGCACAATAAGAAAAGCTGCACAGGTTGAATCACTCCAGTTATACTGTCGACATGTGCAGCTCAGTGACAGCAGCCAGAGGAAACACACACTCAC